ATCCCCTCCAGCCCCCCAACCTCCCACACCCCCAGCTCCAGGGCTTCAGAACCAGGAGGCGGCAGAACAGGGCTTGAAGGCCCGGCCCCTCCTGTGCTCCGAGACTCCCAGCTTGGAAGGATGAGCGTCGGCTGTGGAAATGCTCAGTTCCTTTCCTCGGGACGTTTTTAGAAAACTTGCTGCTTTTTTAATCTCTTGACTTCTTGTTTGTGACCAAGTTCAAATTCCAGAGAGGGAAGCAGCCAGCATGTGTGATTATTTCCTCTCGCACCAAGTGGGACTAAAAGAATGAACTGACTTCACGCGAAATACATGTGCCCTTTGGACCGGCACCTAAAACGAGCGTCCACGGCCGGCCTGGCCCTGCGCTGGTGCCGTCATTAAACACGACAAGGGAAGCGGATGTCAGGCGGCTCTCAGTCTGGTCTTAGGTCTGAGGCGGAAGAGGACAGAACAGTCTTTTGAAAAGAGGATTATTTTTGTGCCCCCTCTGGGCAGGGTGCTGGGGAAGGGGAGGCTCCAGGACTGCAGGGAGGGGTTCCCGCTGTGGCTCCCAGCTCGAGTGGTGCTGTCTTGGGCAAATCTCTTAACTTCTCTGAGCTCCAGGCAAAGGGGGGATACGTCATCACGGCCCTGAGAAAGGTGATGTGTACAGCTTCAGCAGGGGTCCTGCCAGGGCCGACTCCCTCAGTGGGCATCCTTACTATCAGACTGTTATTGTAAGAAAGCGCCATAACAGGAGCCCTAGGGAAGCTGGTGTGACCTCAGTGCCGGGCAGCTCCTCGCTCAGGGGCTGGGCGGAGGCCCTGGCCATACATTGCTGGGACCGTGGGCCCGGGCGCTGGCCACCGTCTCACCCTCGCTGTGCCCGCAGGTGACCTCCTCCGTGCCCTGGACTTCCCCTTCTTGTATGTCTACAGATTCCACGGCAGCTGCTGCGCCAGGTAACCTGACCTCACGAAATCCTCGCACTGTTCATTCCTGTTTTGTGCTCCCAGCTGTGTCTTCGCTTTGGCGAAGCCTAAGGTCACTGGCCGGGCGGTGGCAGGGGCAGGCTGGGTGCTCTGAACACCTTCGGGTGCTCAGAGCTGTCTGGGCCTTCGAGGACCCCTGTCCTGCGGAAGTGTTCAGGCTCCAGCAGTGGTTTCCAAACTTGCCCAAGAGCTGGGATTTCCCGACTTTTTGTTCTCTCCACAAACAATTCTTTCAACGTTAGTCTGAGCTAGTTGAGTTCAAGGGAAGATTGGGGTCCACAGTCCTACCCTCTCCACTTCCACCTTGGCTCCCTCTTGCTCCTGAAGGGCAGCCTCCAAAAAAGAACCCACAAAACACCTCCACTGAACCCCAAGGTTATGAGACAGATTGTGGGAACCATTGAGCAGGAGCTGGCTCAGTGGTCAGCCCCCTCCCCCGGGCCTGACTTTGCTGCACTGGAGGCGCAGGTCTCTGGGGCAGGCTCCCCGCGTGCCCTGGGCTGTGGTGGAAAAGCCGACCAGAAAGTCCCAGCCAAGGCCAGGCCCCGCCCTCCCAGAGCTCAGCAGGTCAGAGCCACCACCAGCATCTGCCACACGGTCAGAGGGGGCCCTGGGGGTGCCAATGGCCCAACTCCCAGACCTGCCCGTAGTTTGGGGCACAGCTGCAGGTGTGTCTCTTGCTTTTTGAGCCGCACTCCGCACTCACTACGCTTATTTGCTGAGTCGGCCTCTGTCATGGCGTCCCTGCCATACTTCCTTCCCCAGCCCCCTGCCCCCAAATGTCAGGAGGAGCCATCATTCTGTTTGGAGCTCCCTTTGCTTTGCACTTGGCCACATGGTGACCTTGAAGACGGTTCTCGTGCAGGCCACTGCTTCCCCGACCACGGCTGTGTCAGTGCCGTGCAGCCCTGAGATGCTGCCCACCTCCGGCCCCCAGCGTGGGGGCGCGTGCAGGTCACCCCTGGGGTAAGCTCGTTCCTAGAACACCGCTGCTGTGTGGTGACCTCGCTTGGGGACGTGTCATGGGAGCCAGCCCTCCCCTTTCAGAGTCTTACCTCGAACCCAGACCCTCTGCCCTCAGGTGGTGCTCTCCCTTGGGAATCTGTCCTTGGCCTGTGTTCTGCTGGGAGAAATGGAAGCTGCTTGGCAAGCACCAAGCTCCAGCATAACGGGGGGGGGGAGGTGCTGCCCCCCTTTCTTTCGGTCAGGATGTAACAGACCCCCCACATTTCCGTGCCCCCTCCCCCTCTGGTAAATGCTCTCCTCAAAGCTCCTGAGGAAAGTAGAGCTTCCTGGGTTTTAACTTGTCTTTTTGAATCTAGAGGTCACTGGAAGCAGGTGCACCAGGTGTGTGACGATTAGACAGTGCCTGGTGAAGTGTGACAGGAAATGGTTCCCTGTTGGCTCCGAGAAGACAAGCCTCACTCACAGGTGGCTTCTCCTTCCAGTGGCCTTTTGGGGTTCCTCGTCACGCTCAGCGCCGTGAAGCTGAAGAGCCTGGTGGCCCCTGGGCAGTGTGCGGCCTGGCTGCTCCTGGCTCAGGTAAGAGACGAGGGTGGGAGTGGTCTTGGGCTGGACCAGAGCTGGCACTGTCAGGTGTGTCTCCACGGAGTCCCTTCTGGGCGCCGGCCCTCGCCTGATCCCCACTCAGGTCCATGTCTGTGCTTCCTCCTTGTGCTCCTGGCAGGGGCGCTGGGGACTCCCTCGCTCTCCTGACCCTGGTTTCCCATCTGAACACGGGAGGTTTTATAAACAAACAGCATCTCGAAAGCTTCTCCTAAGAGCCTGGCCTCTGGGTGCACGGGGCGTTCTGACCCCTTCCTGGGCCGTGAGCGTCCAGAGCCTAGCTGACCAGGAGTCTCACATCAGAGGCGGCAGAGGACGGCAGTGGGCCCAGACCGGGCACTGGATGATGACGGAAAAGGGCGACTTACGGTAGGACCACCCACGGGCACCTGACCGGCCGGCTCTGCGTGAGCAGGGAGCTGGGAGAGGAGACGGATAGGGGAGCAGGAGCAGCTGTGGGACCAGGACCCTCGAGATCCTGGGGACCATCCTCCTGTGGAGCATCTGGTTCCGTCGTGTCGCCCGCAGGGGCTGCCTGCAAGGAGCTGCCGTTGTTAGTGAACTTGATGGAGAAATAACCACCGAAACCGCCCCCCCCCCCCCCCGAAAACAAAGGCATGTCTTTGAAATGAGACTTCACAGCGGCCTCTTCACCTGTGTGGTCTCCTGAGGGAGAGCATGGCTAATTCTGACCCCTCAGACGGGAAGTGTGGCTGAGATGCAACTTCCCGCGACTGGGGAGCATGTGGACACAGCCTTCCCACGTCAGCTAGAAAGCTAGAGCGAGGCAGACGGACCACAGGACGCGGCACAGGAGAGGCTTTGTCCCTGAGAGCGACGGCTCTGGGTTGGGCAGCGCTGGTGGCATGTTCTCGCCTGAGGTTGCTCCCGTGCCTTCCTCCCCAGCTCTGTCCGTGTGATAGTGGAACCAGAGCGGGCGGCTGCGAAAACCAGCGGCCTTGTTGGTGCTTCCAGACTATTCCATGCGCAGTATTTTCAGTTAAATGGCCGTGTCAGTGTAAATGAGCAAGAAGAGCCAGTGGCCCCACTGTCCTGAGCTCACAGCCCTCTGTGGTACAAGCGGTGGACAGTGGTCTATGGAAACATGGGGAGCTCTGGTGGGTGAGAGGGCCATTAGGGGCTGGACAGCTCTGCATGTGCCCAGGCTGTCTGTGCACCAGACGCAGAGGTGTCGTGCGCCGGAGCCCCCACACTCTGCCTGCAGCGCCCGAGCGCACTCACGGGATGGGAGCGAGCCAGCAGCAAGGGAAGGCCGGGTGGCATGAGCCCCGAGATTCGATGTGCACCCCGTCCACTCACCGCCAGAAGCAGACGTCTTTCCGGCTCCGGGTATGCGAGCACGACAACTCTAAGCTGTGCAGACGGAGGGGGGGACCCTGAGGAGAGCAGGCTATGCACACGGTGAGGGGCAGGGGTAACCCCGAAGAGCAGGCTGGAGAACACACACGGGAAAAGTGGTGAAGACCTCAGAGCTGCACCTTCCCCGGGAGACGGATCTTACAGACTCGGTGCAGGCAGGGTCCTGAGCGAGGACAGCACCAACAACAGTGCTCCACAGGAAGTCAGGCCTAGAACTGTTGCCGTGTGTTACGTCGTGTCCGGTGTCCAACAGAAAATTAGACGCTTTCCGAGAAACAGGAAGGTGTGATTTATGCCAGGAAAGTCAGTCAGTAGGAACCATGTCTGCATCCTCAGATTTGCAGCTTAGCAGGAAAAGACTGCAGGGCGGCTGTTTAAATATGTTCAGACACAGAAAGGAAACCACATTCAGAGAATTCAAGGAAAGACAATACAGAATCTCAATAAAGAGACCAAAATGATTTTGAAAAAGAAAGCCAAATGGAAAATCTGGAGTTGACAGTATAACTGACATGAAATGACAGATTCTATTCAATAATAGATGTGAGATGACCCAGGAGGCAGAACAAAGGGAATTCTTTGATCTAAAGAACAAAGATTAAAAAAAACCCTGAAGAAATATAAACAGAGGCTTAGAGATCTGTGGGACATCAACCACAGCAACGTATATATAGTAAGAAATCCAAAAGAAGAGGAAAGAGAGGTAGAAAAAGATAGTATTAATGGATGACCTCTCATAAAAAACAGCGGAGGATAACACATTTAATGTGCTGAAAGACATCTCCAACCAGGAATTCTGTACGCAGCAAAACTATCCTTCCGATATGAACGAGAAAGAAAGACATTCACAATTAAAGACAGGGATTTGTTGCTAGCAGTCATATCAATAGTTGCATTAAATGGGAATAGACTAAATAGCTCACTCAAAAGTCAGAGATTGTCAGTCTGGATAAAAAGGCAAGACCCAGCTGTCTGCTGTCTGTAAGGACACATCTTAGATTCAGACACAGAGCCTGAAAGTGAAAGGATGGAAAACATAACCATGCAAACAGCAGCCACACTACAGCCAGAGTGACTCTATTATCAAACCAGACTTCATGACAGGAACTGTCACTAGGGAAGGACACTTAGTGATGACAGAGGGTTAAGACGTTCAGAAGATGGAACAGTTATAAACATACACACCTAACAACAGCCGCCCCAAGTGTACGAAGCAACAAGTGACAGAACAGGAAGGAGAAACAGTCATAGTTGAAGATTCCAATACTGTGGGGAAGCAGGCCAGGCAGCCACTGGAAAACAGTGTGGAGCTGCCTCAGAAAATGAAAAACGGAACTGCCTTTTGACCCAGCGACCCCACTTCTGAGACTAAGGATCCTGAAACACCAATCAAAGAATGTACACGCCCCCATGTTCATAGCAGCAGCATTTACAACAGCCACGATCTGGAAGCACCCAGTGCCCATCCCAGATGCGTGGAGAAAAGCTGTGGTGCATCTACACCATGGAATACCACTTGGTCGTAAAAAAGGGGGGAGCCTTACCCTTTGCGACAGCACGGAGGGATCTGGAGAGGATTATGCTGAGTGAAAAAAGCCAGTCGGAGGAAGACAAGTACCATATGGTCTCAATTACATGTGAAATCTAATGAACAAAATACATCCAGGGGCATCGATGCATGGAACAGACTGAGCTGTCAGAGGGAGTGGGAGGGAGATTGAATGAAAGAAGGCGAGAGCCTGGCTGGTGTGGCTCAGCGGTTGAGCATCGACCTAGGAACCAGGAGGAGGCCACGGTTCGGTTCCTGGTCAGGGCTCGTGCCCGGGTTGCGGGCTTGCTCCCCAGTAGGGGGCGTGCAGGAGGCAGCCGATTGCTGATGTTTATCATTGATGTTTCTAATTCTCTATCCCTCTCCTTTCCTCTCTCTCTCTCTCTATAAAAAAGAATAAAGATATATTTCTTTAAAAAGTAGAAGGATTTTTAATCCTTCCTAAATGTGAAGGATTGAATAAAATGAGCCATTAAGGATTCTTCTGGCCTCAATACATCAAACAATCTTCCTTCCTCTCTTCTTTTTCTTTCTATTTAAAAATAAACTCTGTGACCCTCAGTGGCATAATATTTACCCATCCTGACATGCATTTACCTACAGATCAGACGTGCTGACATTGAAGTCCAGCATAGTTGTACATAGCAACGCAGCACTTCCCCGTGGTGTCACTGGGACTGCAAGCGCCAGTGTGTAGAGTGACTCGGAAGGACGCTCCGTGGGCCCCAGAGGAGAATTGGGATTCTGTGAAAAACTCGTAGATAGCCGAAACCGGTTTGGCTCAGTGGATAGAGCGTCGGCCTGCGGACTGAAAGGTCCCGGGTTCGATTCCGGTCAGGGGCATGTGCCTGGGTTGCGCGCACATCTCTGGCGGGGGGTGCGCAGGAGGCAGCTGATCGATGTTTCTCTCTCATCGATGTTTCTAACTCTCTATCTCTCTCCCTTTCTCTCTGTAAAAAATCAATAAAATATATTTAAAAAAAAAAAAAACAAAAAAAAACTCGTAGATACACAGGCAGAGGCCATTCAGAAGGGCCTGGGACACCTTCCTCGTCCCAGAAGCTCCCATGCGCTGCCATTTCCAGGGAGGTGTCAGTCTGCGTCGTCACGTCCAAGTCTGGAGAGGAGGCATCCCTGCTTCTCTCTGTTCCTCGTCTTTCTCTGCCTCTTCCCTGGGTCTCAGTGCTCAGCAAGGAAAAAGTGCCAAGTCACTGTGTCATCATCACTGTTCTTTCTGGGGATTTTGAGGTGCCTTCTAAGAAGCTAAACAACAATATTTAGCAACCTTTTTTCAATTCCTTCGTTTTGGTAGAGTGAGCTATGTGAAATCTGACGCAGCCATATAAACTCTTGGGGTCCCGTCCCACTTGTGCTGAAAAGCATTGCAGGAAAAAAGTGGTTGCGTTTAAGAGAAAAGCGATGACGTATAGACGCCTAAGGAAGACGTGTTCGCCGGTGGGTTGCTCCAGCAGCTCTACGTTCTCGTGAGAATTCTTCCCGTGTCGAGTAGCGTCTTGTCTCATCCTTCAGGCAGACGGCAGCTCTCCGCGTCGGGAAGAGGCAGCTGAGGCCCGAGTGCGTGTACACTGAGGCCGAGGCTGAGCCAGGAGAGACGCAGCCCCAGACAGCAGCTCCGGCCCCCGCCCGGCTCTTGAGGACCCAGGGTTTGCTCCCCACGAGGGCAGAGTCTCCTTCAGGCGAATGCAGTGTCGCTCCACCGCCTCCCGGAGGCAGTGGCAGCCCAGGAAGCGGCTTCCTCTGCCCCTTTGTGACCCTCAGAACCAGCTTGCTGTCCTTGCCTGCAAGTGTCTGTTGACTTGGTGGAGTTAGAGCTTTGTCTTTTGGGCCGGGACCGGGTGGCTGTGTGGCTGGGCGTGCGGCGTGGTGTCTGCGTGTGACGGTTTCTCGGCTGCGGGAGTGAACCAGCCTCCCTCCATGTTGCAGCGGGGGGCCTCACCCACCGCCCCAGACCCTCCTCCGACATGGTCAGGTGTGCTGCCTGCCCTACAGCTGTGTGTGCAGCGGGGTTTTAAGGTTACTGGTTTGT